CATTCATGAAGTTTATTCAATGACCTTTTTCCAGGAAGTCTGCTTGGTGATAGCAAAACCTATAGCCTTCCTCCACTTTTGCCTGATTTGCCTATTTGTCAGCCTATTTGTCAACTGGTGTCTTTAAATGTGGAAGCTCCGTGTGGTGTTGTAGCGTGTCCTGTTTCAAAGGTCTGTCCCTGTGAAATTGACTGGCCCAGTCAATCAGAATATGAAGTCAATCAGATGAAGATTTTGGGTTGGTCAAGTATGACACAAGTTGCTACTGCTTAATTAGTTGAACAGCATCTTTTACATATTTTATTTTATATATTTTACATCTTTAGGCTTCAGTTCTGATCCCATGGCAACTCTGGGGTAAGAACCAGTGGTCCAAACTGGGTTTCTAGTTTCAGTGTCACCATAGATCATAAAATAAGGCACCTTTCTCCAGCCAGGTGTTTTCCAGACATGTTGGGACTGCAACACTCAGAACCCGCTGGGAATCCTTGGAATTGTACTCTTAAGACATGTGCAGAAGTTTGATATAGGCCTTATAATGATAGCACAACAGCAGATTCTTGAGTCTTTCTTTAGAAACTTTGGGTTCTTGGGGTCATTGTTGGTTTTTTTAGAATTTCTGTTAATATTCTTGTGCCTGAAACTTTTCACTGGGGCATAGCGCCATAATTTTGAATTTAGAAAGTGACTCCGATTAATTATTAATTAATTAATTAATTATTAACTATTTTACCTTTGAAATAGTTTTGATTTACTTATTCTGTTAAGTGGTCTACTGAAATCTTCCTGCAGATGGAGAAGTTGCCATTGAAAAAATCCTTCAGGACATTCTTCCAGTTCCATAGGTCACCCTTTTATTTTCATTTTTTGTTTTGTTTTGTTTCAAGTTCTTGGCTTTTTTTTTCATTCTCTCTACAACATCATTTTTGAAGAAGAGAACCTTGTAACTTTGTGTCCTACAGATATATATGAAATATCTTGCACTCTTATCTCACCTTTCCATTCATATATGGCATTGGATGTCATAAAGAGAATGTGCTGGGTGATAGAGGATGGATGGATTTCATTATCTCTTGGTTAATTGTTGGAGAAATTCTTGCCATCTCAGGCTAAAATAGGCTCAAGGAGCAATACTATATAAATCCAGTCAGGCTGCTCTAGAATTACTGACGCTCTGAAATACAATTGTAATCTTCAATTTCATCTAAGCTTGCAAAAACTGTTCAACAATGGCTTTTGCAAGCTGTACTCTTAGTCTTGGTGGGTATGAAATGCTAAGGTCTAGGTCAAATGACTGTGTATTACGCTGGAGAATGACCAATTAAATCACAGCTCCTGCTTTTTACTACAGTTATTTCCATTCATTCAGGATGAATGAATATGCTTGTATTTTGTGGGCTGCCTATTCTGAAAGCCCCCATATTTTATTAGATGCATAATAATACTTTAATGTTAGATGTTTGATCAGAACCTGGAATCCATCTTTCTCATCTTGAATGTCATAGTCATATTAATGGTTAGGGACATGTCCACACAAACATAAAGACACCTCAGATCAGGTTCAATTCGGTATGCAGTTTTCTTGGCAACAAGGTAGAAGTTGCTTTTCATAGTCTTCTTCCAGGATGTTTTTTTCACTTTCCTACTCTGGTCTTCAGAGCCCTGGGATTTTCTAGCCATCTCCCATTCTAGTACTACTGTAACTTGAATGAGTACATTTTGATCTACCCATTAACTTGCATTCCTTGAATAGTTTGCAATTATAATGTAGGTGGCAAGCTATTTTATTACTTTTCATCTAAATTTTAATTAATATATACAGTTGGTTTTTTCTGCTGTCTGTATTTTTAATGATTGAATTTGTAGAATTGCAGTTTCATTTTTTATTTTAGAATTTGCTATATTTAAGCTATGGTTCATGTGAATAAGCCAAGATCTGAAACTATTTGATCTTAGCTTGTTTTAACTAATGATTTAATCCATCACTTTCCCAGGTCTGTGTGTAACCGGGACATGGTATGTTCAAAACTGAAAGCAAAAACTTAAGTTTTCTTTCTTGCGTAAAAGAGGGCTCGTCTATGGATTATAATGTGTCTAAACTGGGTCTGGATTATGTCTCTGACCTTAGTTATTAGGCAGTGGCCACTTGTGGTTAATAAGCAGCCTTTTGCTGTCTTTTCTTTTTCTCAATTAATTATAAATTACGTTCATTGTTTAAATACCTATCCTACCAAAAATATGGCAGACTCTGGAATACTTATACATGGATATTATCCATTTGATCAGTGAAAACACTGGATGACATAGTAGATTAGGTTTAATAGTAGAGGTAATACAAGATCAGAGGTATTTGTTGATGTGCAGAATAGCATGCTAGATTCCTAATACTTTCCCACACTTCAAACTAGTTCTA